TTTAATCACCGACCTCCCCGAGAGCGCCGGCTACGATTCTGTCATGGTCGTGGTAGACCATGGGCTTACGAAGGGGGTAATTCTCTGCCCTTGCAGAAAAACCATCACAGCGGAAGGAGTAGCCGAACTTTTCTTCAAGAAAGTGTTCATGCGCTTCGGACTCTATGACAAGATCATCTCGGACCGAGGCCCCCAATTCGCCTCGAAGCTAGCAAAGGAGCTAGGACGACTCCTCGACTACCAAGTCGCACTTTCCACTGCCTATCACCCTCAGACAGATGGCCAGACCGAACGGCTCAACCAAGAGCTCGAAACCTACCTCCGGATCTACTGCCGGACGACTCCCTCCGAATGGGCAAAGCACTTGCCTATGGCCGAATTTGTTCATAACTCCCGACGACACTCTGCCAGAAATGCCTCTCCCTTCTATCTCATGATGGGCTACGAACCACGAGGCATCCCCCATCTCTTCCCCGACTCTACCCTACCAACCGCCGAAGACCGAGTCAAATCACTCGCCAAAATCCGCGAAGAAGCCCTTGCATGCCACAGCCTCGCGCAGCAACGCATGGCTGATCGTTCCTATGGCCAGCGTTACAAGCCATGGAACGTTGGTGATAAGGTATGGCTATCCGCCACGAACCTGATCACCGGATTCCCTTCTAGGAAACTCGCCCCGAAACGATATGGACCCTTCCCAATCCAGAAGGTCCTCTCCCCCATCACGTTCCAGCTCAAGCTGCCTGCCAGCTGGCGTATCCACCCCACGTTCCATGCCTCGGAACTTTCCTCCTATCAGGAGACAGACGTGCATGGACCGAATTTCACCGAACCTCCTCCTGATCTTATCGATGGAGAGGAACACTACGAAGTGGAAGCTATCCTCCAACACAAGGGTACCGGATCGCGTCGCCGGTACCTCGTGTCTTGGGTTGGCTATCCTGCCTCCGAACGAACGTGGCTCCCCGAAACAGAATTGAAGTCCGCAGCGGAGCTCCTGAAGGCGTATAAGAAGCGACTCAAGATCGCTTCAATCGCCATCTCATGTTGATCAACAACCGCCACCGCAACTTCTCCTACCGCCCTCACTACACTAGGGCTGACCCCACCAGCGAACCCATCCACACCAATACCAAAGCCTTCCATCGCCAACGAATCCGCAATCGCCACCGCCCCACGAAATCCACACCTGTCGACAAACAGAGACCCATTACCCAATACCCTACCTACGCCACTACCCAAGGAAAGACGCTCCACTATGTCGGCCTCAGCGTCGTCTGTTTCCTCGCGCCGATCCGCTACCTCTCATGCGTCTGCCTCCGACCCCGACCCGACGAGCCAGCCAACGCATGGCCATGATAGGCCCTCCTACACCGTCTTCCGACGACCATCCCTTCGCTCAGTTGTCCAAGACAGGCAACGGGCCTACTGGGAAGCAGTCATCTGCGATCCCCAGTATGCAATCCGACTCGACAACTATCTCAACCGCACCAACGACGACATAACCATGAACCTCGTTCAGGCCTTCAGGGCCACCGATGCCCTCACCGGCGATATCGCCAGGATTGATCTGGCTAGGGAGACTGCCCTATCCACCGTCTCAACCAGATACAACCAAGGCAAGATCAAACGAGCCTTGCTAAATCTGTTTGAACTTAGGAACTTCCATGCCGCCGTCATGGCCGTCGAGGAGGAGCGGGCATTTAATCCCCCTCCCGACCCGCTTGCAGTCGTCGAGCGTGCTGTCTATGACAGAGCTCCGACCCCCTTCCTTCCCCAACTACCCCGCTCTGAATCACCAGAGCAGATCCCCAATGTCACCCAGTTGACCAACCCCGAGATCGACCGTCTCTATAACGAATACGAACGCGAGCTCTACGCTCCACGTAACCCCTCCCCCATCCTCGATGCCGACACCATCTCTATCATCATCCCAGAGTTGGATGAATGCCCTCCCGCATCACCTGTTCTCAACCCCGACGATTGGGTACCCACCGAGACGGTCCCACACCTCTCTATTGGTTCTCCGGAACCCCTTCCCACTCCGCAACGCCGAAATCACCGTGCTCGTGCACGATCCATCTTGTCCCTAGGACTACCCCTCTCCCATGCGCATCGACCGCGCACCCAGAACTTCACTAGGCACTATCCTCGCGAGGAAGCCCAGGAAGACGCCATCAACGACGCGCGTCGTAATGCCACCGAGACCACCCAGGTCTACCGCAGCAACATTGTCTGCCGCCAGTGCCGTGTCTACGGACACAAACAGAAACACTGCGCGCAATACTTCTGCCGCATTTGTGGGCAATTTGCCCCAAAACATCTCACTCCTTTCTGCCCTCGACTTGACGGCAGGAAGATCCTTCGTCGTGGAACCTCTTCCGACCGGTTCTACAGGGATATGCAGCAGCTCGAAGCTGCGTATGACCAGGACGCTGCTCGCCTTGAGCAAGAACGCGAAGAGAATGCAATCGAAGCCGCCTCCTGGCTCGAAGACCTCGACTTCGACCCCACATGGTATAACAACCAGGACGACGATTAAAGAGTTCGTGGAACTCTACCTTGAAATGGGGGTAATGTTACAAGTAACATCGGCTACATGGCCCCCCTATCATTTTTCCCCTTCGTCCTCGCCCTCATATGCCTCCGGCTCGCACTTCTCTACCGACTATCCGTTGACCGGATCCTCGGGACCGTTCCCGTCCCTCATCCCCCTCCTATCGCACCAACGTGCGCACGTGCCTTCGGGCTATGACTCGTTCTGACTCGTGCCACCAATGTGGCTTTCCTTATCTTGTCTTATCTTTCCTTTGACTCGTGCATGCTGCACATTGTATCATTTACCGTTGGCTCGTTCCAACATTTCTCGGTCTCATTCCGCATTCGACCTTACATCACTAATCAGGCTCTGCCACCATTGTACCTATACCCTTTCCGTTTCCCCTTTGCCCTTACCTACAGTACGGTAGCCTTGCCCTTAACCCTTTCCACTTAGTATAAGTAGTCGGTCACTCTGTACTAGATTCCCTAACTTGAATCTACTCAATCTTCCCTCGAACATACTTCCCTCTGAAGCCCCCTCAGCTTCAGTCTCTAGTATCTTTTCTTAGGTGCTCATCGCGCCTAAGTCTACCTCGATCGACCACCTCATCGTTCGGACAAGACTGTCCTTACTTTGAGAACGTCAGTGACTTTGAAGACATCCGTCTTAGAAGTCACGTGACACGCGCGTCTCTGATATCTGCCGACTCGACGTCGCCAGTCTCAGTCGCTACACCGGATCCTTCTGGTTACATCACGAACGTTAGCGGACGACGCCCCTCTTAGGGCTCCGCATAACAGACCTATTTGAGTGCGTAACACCCTCGGCCCACCGGTCTAATTAATATGCGTCTGGGCCCACCCATATAATACAATATTTTATAATACCCTCGGCCCACCCATCTAATTTAATATGTGTCTGGGCCCACCTGTGAATGTGATAACAAGTACCTACCCATCTATCTCATACACATCTACCTTAATACACCCATCTGCATAATATCCAACTACCTCGGCCCACCCGTCTACCTAATATTCATTTACATCGGCCCACTCATCTACTCTATATATTCCCTGCATGGGCCCACCCGCCTCCATCGGGAATAATTTGCCTCCAAGCCCATCAGTCATAGTCGAGGATATTTTTATCATGGGCCCATAGTCCGCTGGCCCGTATCATACGGGATATTATGCATGTCTGTTCCCTCGTATTATACAGAGATAGGTCACTGTAATATGTGATCAAGAATGGTATCCAACACAATGTGGGCCTTATAAGAGTGAGAAGGAACTTGGGTGACCCAGTGAAGGTACAACAATTCAGATGGTGAGTCTGAACAATGTTGGGTCTTGCAGAACCTAGCTGCTATTCGACCCTAAAGGGTTTCTGGACCAGGCTCAAGGCTCAGAGAAGAGGAAATATCATGAAAACTTGCTCAGCACTCAGACTCATACTGGTAACTGGTGAAAAGATTGCTTGCTTATGTAAGCTACAAAAGTGCCAACATAAGGTAAGGTAAAAACAGTCTCTACAAGCCCAGCCAGAAATGAATCCCTACACTGGAATGCATCGGGAGGAGATGGCTGTGGTTGCCCCTGTTCTCTTAGAGTCCCTTGGTATTTTGTAGCAATTGAATTGAATGAATGTCACTCAATCCACCCAATGACTCTTTCAAACTGATTGTCCTGATGACCCCTCAGCAATTCAATTGACTATGATCTAATCTGTCCAAATCGATGCACACTTTATGCATTAAGGTCTAAATTTAGCACAAAATAATACCATGGGAGACAAGCTAGGGAAGGTCTAGTTACGAGACTGTGATGCAATCAAAGTTCACCTTTCTGTCACCATACCACCACCATCATCTCACAGACCCAGACATGGGCAGATCAAAGGCTATAGAGGTCACACCTCCTGGGACCGTCCACCTTGTGAAATGGAGCCAGAAAAAAACTAGCCAAGGCATCAAAGGTCGGTGGGTGTCAGCCGAGCCAACAAAGACTAGCAAATCAGTTCATTCATCGCTGACCAAGTCTCCCACCAAGCAGCCTTCTGGTGGGTTGATGCATAGATTCTCCGAAGACTTTGAGACATGCTATGGTGACCAAGGCGGCATCAATTCCATGAGACTTCCAAAGAGCCGAGTGAAGAAAAAGAGTGGGGAAAGTCAGATATCTACCTTTATAAACATTGAACTCACATCTGGGACCTATAGACTCCAAATGAGTATCTTCGCCAGTGGAAAGTTAGGGTGGAGGATTATTTGGATATGCTCCTGGAATGCAAGGCTCCACCTCCGAATTGGGTTTGCTGCTTGTGTGACGGTGATGGCACATACAAGTGCCATGACTGTTTTGCCAAGCCGATATTCTGTACAAAGTGTTGCCGGACTCAACATGCAAGGCTCCCTTTCCACCGGACGAGTCAATGGAACAGAGATTTCTTTGATAGAACTATGCTCGCTAAGCTAGGTGTAGAGATCCACCTCAGTCATGGAGGACAGCCTTGCCCCAACCATAATTGGGAATGGGAAGATACCGATGATGAGGACCAATATACTGCATCTTTAACTGCTGGAATTCCGGGTGTAGCAAAAGCAGCTGATGAACATGGCGATTGGCGATGCACAGAACCGTATGCGACAGCAGACAAGGATGTCTTTTTAGAGTCAGAGCCTGCAGCTACTTTCCCAGACTTGCCTGAGGTAAATACAGCACAGATCGGCAAGACTACAATCACAATTGTTCACTCTTCGGGTGTTCACATTTTATCTATTCAGTATTGTCAATGCATGGGTGCCCGAACTCCCGACAAACAGCTGTTTGAAATGAGGCTGTTTGTGGCATCATTTACCCGGTCGAAGACAGCATTTACTTTTGCATTGTTGGACAATTTCATCTTGGACAATTTAGAGTGCGGAACATTGGGGATGAACTATTACAGCAAATTGCGAAGAATAACATCTAGTATATTCCCTCATGCGGTGCCGGTAAGCAGAGTTGTGCCATCACAAGCACTGACCAAATATGCGACAGGACCACTACCGGGAGATGATGCAAGTTGCAAGACAATGGTGCCAGCTGAAGCTATTGAAATGGAACAGATTCAGTCACGAGAAGAGGGAACCAAAAGATGGGGAGCTGGCTCTCTTCTGCCCAGCTTGTCCCCAACCAGGCATCAACACCCCATTGCAACCCAAAAGTGATGAGACCATTCCCGGATGGATATATACACGCTCCCTTGTTATGGATGGTAATTTCAAAGCAGAGCATCTATATCCGACACACCCGGAAGATGAAGTTTGGTTGACCGATGGCAAAGGATTCATGGTTGCAAGGGCGAGATACTGGGCGCATCTTGCTGTCGCACAATATTTGGTACAGAGATCCAAATGCAATAACCATAGAGCAGTGAATCAGGCCAATGCATCTCGGCATAAGCTGGAAGCTACGGGAATCGGCGGGTGTGCCTGCGCTTGGCATGGCTGCTTTGTGCCGAATTCTATGGTAGATTTTCAAAAAGGCGAAAGGTACGGACATCCGATATAATGCGCAACGCGATGACATTCAGGAGCAGACAGATGAACATGGATTATGCCCTTTGCAACATGCTTGCTCATAATACCGACAGCTTATGCAGGGCATTGACTTTTTATGATGTCAATTGTCAGTACAACAGACATTTCAAGAAACGGGTGGAAGACAGCCTGCATATGGACATTCCATCCGACATGGACATAGTCCCGGGAATCGGGCTATGGCATGTTCACGGGCATCAAGACAAATGCTTTGTGCGGTATGCATCAAATTTTATTCCCGGAGCCGCAAGAATAGACGGCAAGATCATGGAGACCCTTTGGGCTTCCCTCAATATAATTTCCCCGGCAGCCCGAGGAATGTCGACCCCCACCGACAAAAATGCCTCGATTTCCAAATGAATGACTGCAACTTTATGAAGATGATTCGAATGGGTGGGTCTCATGATCGGAGTTCCGGGGATAGTATCTAATGGCAACAGCTGCATTTCTGTCCCGCAAGTACAAGGAAGCCAAATGTGGGGTTGCTGAAAGCACCGAAGCATTCAACAAATTGAATGGCTCGGCCAATCCTGTCATAGTGGACCGGTGGGAATCCCAAGAGGCGCAAGCTCAAGCATCGCATATTACCGACCCTGTGGCGCTTGATATATATGAAGTGCAGTTACAAAAGGGTGAGTCTCGGTGATAACTTATTTGCCGCACAAGGACTCATTGGAAATATCAGTTGGTAGCACGATCTAGGAAGGATATTGAGCTGGATTTGCTGGAGACCTCTGTCTGGCGGCCTGGGGTCAGACCTCAAATAGGATCAGCCACATGGCTTGCCTCTGGTATCACTATTGAAGAAATGCAACTTGCACTGGCCATGGATCTGCGCAGAATGGGCCGGCATCCCACCGAAATGCAAGCACTTGATATCAGCCAATGTAGGGTTTGGCTGCAACAGTCTATCGACGAATTCACTGCCGGTACATAGGAGATGAATATGATGCCGATGATGGCATCACCATAATGGACGTTGAATTCATAGAAGACGCCACCAACACTCAAGATTGCAGTGATGATAAGTCGGATGTGGGAGAGAACACGCCAAGGGTCTCGCTTCGACTGGAAACTATTGCTATCCCACTGCCGTCCAACTTTGGCAAGAAAAGATGTGAAGAGCTTGGGATTGAAGTCCTTGTCAGATAAGAAATCACTCTCCATGAAGGACAGGCCAATGACGTCTTGCACACCATCAGAGTGCATCTGGCTGACAAATCCATTTTGTTTCGGACAGTAGTCTGTCCGGCAAAGTCCCAGGCCAGTACCACCCAGGCCTGGGCCCAGGTTCATTCAGTCGAACATGTGATCAATCTGAACAGCATGATCTACAAGAATGCAGGTCGCAGTTGTCTAATCTCGGTGCCGATCATATGCTGCAGAAATATTGGCCGTTGGAAAGAACTGAGCTCAAGGCAAACTTGGCTGTCGCAGACCCGAACATACGAGGTCAGAGAAATTCGATGCTGCCGTGGTTTTGGTCTTTGGATGTTCAGGGGGATTCGGTGAGCAACGACTGGCTCAATGAATGTGTTTCGATCTCAGTGCGAGACATGTTGTTTACCTGATTTTTGCATCAAGTTTACAGGGTGCATTGGCTTCGTACAAAAGCTTTGCGAGACCACTGGGCTGAAGAGTTAATTCTCGTCAGTTATGAGATGCACTGGACCATTGATTTTCTTGCCCACAAAGCCGAAACCTGGCTCAGCCGAATAACCCGTCAGGGAAATGCTATCAAAGATGGACATAAGTGCTATGCGATCAGACAGGCACACATGTATAGACAATTAGCTAAACACGCGCACTCCCAGTTCGTGGAAGTAGATCCGACATTCGGTCATAACTTGTGACATAATATTGAAATATAATATAGACCCTATGTTATCAACACGTGATGTCATCAGCTTCATGCCAAGACCTTGTTGTGTACGTAACCAGGGGAACATGCGGACAATGCACTATTGTGGTCAATTTCGGCCCCATTGTTTATCAAATTACCACAGGTCACAGGTCCACACGTGGCAGATGACATATTTCATTGAGTTTAAACAGTCGACTATTTATACCGCTGGCTGCATCCCAGACAGTCCATTCATTCACTCCCTTCCACGCTATTCCCACCGATCCGAATATGCTGACCGATCCTTTGTTTGTGTATGCCAGGCCCTCAGTAGGTGCAGCGGTATCAATGTGGGATGCTGCAAACACTTTTGAGTATGCAACATCCCGCTTTACTGCGATCCGCATCACCATCGAAAAGAATCAAGTTTCTCGGACTTCACACTTCCGAAAAGTCTTTGTCAGATATTTGTGTTGGGAAGCTGATGTATGTCTTCCAATATTGCCTATCGAATTTGTTGACTTATCGGGTTGTATCTAGCGATTTGTATTTCCTATTATCAACCTTTGTGCCACCACCAACACATCCATGGCATTGCCGGAATATCTCAATGACATCGTGAAGATGCTTGCGAGCTGGCAGCTGGCCCTTTGGGATGATGACCACCTCTTCCACAAATTCTCTACGCATCCTGTGGGTGGTGACTCCGATGTCATGGCACATTGCCACTTAGTTGCCCATTACCAATACTGTTGGTGGAAGGACTGGTTTGATCTCCTTCCTTTTGAGATGCCAGATTGTGTCCAGTTACAGGATGTCATGGAACTCACCGTTGAACATTTTCAGCAGCTGGTAAGCTCGAGTCGTTCGCTTTTCACTTAGTGATCTAATCATAACCGATAATCAGCCTGTGGGGCTTCTTCTTCTGCCCGACATGCATGCGCACAAGGCTGATCCGGATCCATTGCTATCAAACCTCTGGGTGATCAAAGATGATCTTGAACAGCTAGGCACCAAGCTCAACTATTGGCTATCCGCGAAGATGAAAGATGGAAGTGCTGCCCTGGAGGCCATGGCTACCCTTGAAGGTCCAGTGGATGATCTTCATGATGCTATGGCCACCGCACAAGAACTTCTTGACAGAGGTGAAGATAAGTAGCAGGATTATGACTAGATGGAGGAATTATTCTGGTAGATTGCCTTAATTGATATGCGGTGGGTAACTATCGGCTTCGGTAAAAAGCTTTGTATGTAGTCTATTGTGCATATCATCTTAGGCTACGGGCATGAACGGCAATGCAATGCAACACAGGCATGATACTAAATGAAAGTTTCCAGAATTATCTAGGAAAACTATCCATATCTCATATTGCCCTTGCACATTGTACACGGCTCTCAATTTACCGAAAATTGTGATGGTGCATGTTTTGAGTAATCGCATTGTCGTTACATCTTGACCTCGTGCTGCCGGTATGACACTCGCTTATTATGTCCCTGTTGTTTATGTCTACCGATATGCCATTTGCCATGAGGCTCAGCAAGAATTTTGATAAAATAGCTGCGCCCTCATGTCAGGATTCCCAAGCCACCCCGTCATGTCTCATATCCCTTCGGAATGGTGCTCATATGCCAGTCACATTGCATTGATGAGGAATGGTATCGGCCAGCTTCCTATCATTCTGAAGGATTGGGCTTTGCATGCCACTCACTCGGCCGGTGAATGGGTTGAACAGCAATTCCTTGCCCATGTTGCCGAAAGACCGTTGGTAGACCCTCCTCCTGAGTTGGACGTTGAGACCGTGTTGTCTTGCAGGCAACTAGCACTACTCATGGCCGAAGCCTATCGACACCCGAGTATGTGCCCACCATGTTTACTGAAGATATCAACTGATGCAAGGCGTTGAATTTAGTTAAATTGGATATCAACATAATACAATACAATGAGGCTCTCTCCAAAAGAGAATCCAGAATGAATGATGCGCAGGAACATGCCTTATTAGTGAAATTCCCTCCTTCCGAGAACATTGTGTTGAGGCACCCGGCGGTCATATTGGACTCCGGGTACTGAATCATTCTGTGGTACATCCCAGATGCTCTTGCTCCATGGGTGCAGGTGAGTTGGTTGCTGTAAACCAGTTGTCGGCCGCTGACAGTAATAATGATAGAATGATATGTTCAAGGCCACCACCGCCATGGGAGATCTTTTGAAAAAAGTATAGTGCATTGGAGTGGTTCAGGTTGGAGAACCCACAAGTCGAACTTTCGGCCGGTCAATACCAAAGGATTATCTCCGGGCTGTATCAATATAGCCCCATGTTGGTTTCAGCAAGGACACGAAGTAAGTTCCGAACTCCCGTGTTTTCGCTTGTTCATCTCGGTGCAGTGCTACAGCCCCCCGCCTGAGAACTCTGACAACGGTTTCAAACCCGAAGTGTCTGCCACGCTCAAGGGCGAGTGCAGCCTGGAGATGATTATGGATATGCAGAGACCTGCCCTGCTCGCCTCCATTGCCCTCCGAGTCATGCATCCTCAGCTCTACTGGGCTTCCCTAAGGACGCACATTGAGCTCGGCCATTGGTCAGCACAGCAAGGATTGCACGACATGCATCGCCTCTTGAAGCATTGGGCCTCGGTTTACACAGGGGCTGCTGTCATGTGTAACCATGATTCTCCTTGTCACCGAGATCCAAAATGCCCGCCCGAGGCATTTGACATACTGACTTGCATTGGTAGCTACTGACACGCAATCATGCGCTTAACCAATCTCAGGATCAATTTAGTATATAACCCAGGGGTCATGGTGAGCTATTTGGGTCGTCTGGTGAGACATGGCATTCATGTTAATGAAGGGGATTGAATAGTATGGGCCTGGTTCATGCGTGATAGTGTGCACAACTACGCCCACACTCCTCGTCCAGATTATGCCAGATATAATCCTGCTGACCTCGATGCCTGCATATTGGCGAAGTACAATCAGGCAGATTTCATGGTGTATGGTACTCTATAGATGGTCCTCCCGCTGCTATCAAATCTTATTGTCACTCTTTAACCCAACCCAATGCCTTGTCCATACATGTTGCCTTTTGCTTCTCAAAGCTCTCACTTCTCAAAATTTTGCTATCGTTTTACATACTCTGATGCCGCTCTTTTACATGTCATTCCCTTCCACATATAGATATAGTTTTCATAGCATTTCTGAATTTTGCGGGCTTCATTGCATAAGTCACGGCGTTGCTTCAGACTTTATTCAATTTGGTATTGGCACATCTCTGTTTGTCGAACATGCAGAAGTTCATTGGACAATTGATTGTTGCAATTTGATACTGATGCAACCGAACACAGTTTCAATTGTGTCTCGGTAGCATGCTGATGATACGGTAGGCTACACGGGGCACTACCTCCAAAGGAATGGAGTATATCTGGGATGACCGAGAATGGGGCTTATATTTTATGCTATCCATCAGCATCCCCATCCGGCAATATTACGTGCCAACTAGCACCGGAATATCAGCCTTTGGGCCCCACCATTGACATCAACCTAATCATTTCAGACCTTCGGTATCACTCATGTAGGCCCATCCGTGCAGATAGATGTACTGGCATTGTTAAGGTCGTACTCTCATAGGGTCGGATCCAAAGGACTTCAGCCTCAGCTCGTACGCTGTGCCCCTTTCCCAAGTACTGTCCCTTATTTCAAAGTACTAACAGTAACGTGTCCGAAGGTCCGGACGGGTCTTGTAGTATATCTGGATGTCTTCCGGATATCGGAAACACGTATAAGGCTAATCTGGACGTATCCGAACTAGAAACTAACAGAGTAAAGACAACCCGAAGGTAGAGCTGAGGATATAGACTATCGGAATCTATCCGAAGTCTCAGAGAGTGACAAGAGCAAGAAGGACTCAAGTCCGGAGGACGGAAAGAGGACAAACTAAGATGATATTTGAACTGAGGTACTACAGGACATATACACGAGTTTATATACTAAGAGGATAATGCAACAATAAGTAAGCAAAGGTCCGAAGGCTATGTATGAAGCATGTGCAAAGGTTATCAAATGCAAGTCGGAAATGAAGCATAGGTTAACGGATCAGTAATCATACCGGTAATAAGTATAGCTGAAACAACGGGAAGAGGAAATACCGAATAGGCTGTGTTTAATATTAAATGAACAGGAAATGAAATAGGAAGCTTATCAGATATCGGATCAGAAGCGGATCTATGCATTGGACCGGACCGGATCTCAGGGTCCGAAGTCCAGAAGAGAAGCGTGAATATATGGGATATGACAGTATCCCCCCCTTAGGGCCGATCCCTAGAGGCACAAGAAGCATCGGTCCGGACCGGATGAAATTAATGTGAGATGATGGAGAAGTCGATGGGGGAAATATCTGAGTTCGGATTCGGACAGGTATACACAAGGCAGGGCGTCCAGGATTGATTCTTCCTTTCCCACTTTTTTACTCTCTATAACGCTCTATCGGATATGTCTGGCAACACCTCCGGATCTAAGAAATATGCTAAGCAGAAACTTCTGGAGCTTCAACAGTAACTGGTGGACGCGGAAGCTGTAGCTCAGATGGAGGAGGAGGAGATTCGGAAGTGTCAGGAGGAGGAATGGAAACGTCAGGAGGATCTGAGAAGGATTCAGCAGGCCGAAATTCGGATGGAGGCGGAGCAGAAGAGGCACAGGGAAATAGCAGAGGAAATGGTGAGTTTTGGATGGTTATGATGGATTTTCCTGACGGATGAAAAGTCTCATGCTATTTCCGCTGAAAAGGACGGATCCTGCACGTGTTGTACTGCCAAGGGCCGGACTTGTCTTTGGACGGATGCGGAGAGCAATGTTCTGGTGAGTTAATCCACATTTTTTCTTCGGATCCGAGTATTTTGACGTCCGGATAGATCAAGTCTTGTGATATCTGCCAGAAGGACAAGGTTACATGCCCCGGATGACCCGGAACTGTTAAGTTGTCCAAGAGCAAGAAGAGGAAACATGCTGCCGGATCTCCATCTCCGAAAGGTAAAGGCAAGAAACGCCAGAAGAGTCCGACTCCTGAAGATCCGGAAGAGATGGAGACGGAATACGATGACCAGGCTTGGGTGGCCGCAGCCAACAGTATAGTGGCGGAGCTGGCTAGGACTAACACCCTTTTGGAGAGAAGTATTCAGGCGGCGGAAGGCAGCAGGGCTGCAGCAGACCGGATGAGTTCCGGAATTGAGTTGTTCCTTCAGCAACAGAGGGAATTTCAAGCCATGTTGTTCGGACAAATCCAGAAGGGGTTTCAGACATCTCCGGATACGGAGGAGGAGGATGAGGTGATGGATAAGGCATCTGGAAGTGATGCAGGCAGATCCGGAGGGGTGGATGGGTCTATGGAGATGTAGGAAATTTTGGTCCGTTTTGGTTTCTTCTCTAAATGTACTTATATCTCGTATACACATCATGTACTTCAAAGTTGAATAGGACCAGGTTTTTTCGGATATGAGGAGTGGAAGTCCAATACTAATTCGGATGCATTTCTGAGTTCCGTTGCAGGTAACCATGAAGTTTCCTCGTCCGTTCCTTCATATCCGGACCATCAGACGAGGTATAGGAGTTGGCATTGTCTTCTCCGATGGTCCAACTTGGAGTCTAGGATTTCGGAAATCTCATATTCGGGTTCTCTGTCGACTTCGACCGGAGGTGTTGGTGATTGGATACAATTAGGAATAGTGTTGAGGGATGCTGGTTCTAATTGCGAGACATGGAAAACCGGATGTACAGAATGCATGGAATCCGGAAGTCGGATGGTGAAGGAATACGTACCCGGACGAGCTATGATTTTGAATGGACCTAAGTTCTGTTCCGAGAGTTTCTTGGATGGACGAGTGGATCGGAAGTATTTTGCTTTGACGAAGACCGGATCTCTGATTTTCATATCTGGAGCGGGTTTCTGTTTGGTGTCCGCAGGTCCTTGATATCTTTCTTGTGCGTGGGCCATTTCTTCTCGGAGGAACTGATGGAGTTCGTCAAGGTCTATTGCATAGTCTCGTGCGCAGGCGGATGAGAGATCACGTTCCGGATGAATGGATAGGTTCGGATGATATCCCTTATTGGCGAAGAAGGGTGATACTCCAGTAGTAGCACTCGGAGCGTTGTTATAAGCAAATTCTGCCAAGGGAAGTAATTCTGACCAGTTATCCTGCTGATAGTTGCAGTATATCCGGAGGTATTGTTCAAGGGTTTGGTTCGCTCGTTCGGTTTGTCCGTCTCCTTCCGGATGATATCCGGACATGAAGTGGAGGACCATATCTAATGCTTTTCCTAAGGACCAGAAGAAATGTGATATGAATTCTGTTCCTCGGTCCGAAGTGACATGGGATGGAACTCCATGCTTGGAAAACACATGGAGGACGAATAGACGAGCGAGATCCGGAGAGGTAATGGTGTTGTGGGTAGGGATGAATATAGCTTGTTTGGATAGACGGTCGATTACGACGAGGATGGCTGTAAATCCAGATGAGTCTGGAAGATGCTCGATGAAATCCATGGATATAGAATTCCAAGGCTTTTCCGGTATGGGAAGCTGCTTAAGCAATCCGTAAGGTTTGTGTCTCGGAACCTTAGCTTGGCCGCAGGAAGTGCAGGACTTGACATAGTCCTTGACATAGGTGCGGATTCCTGGCCAAGTATACTCACGTCGGATGAGGTCTAACATCCGATTCTGTCTGAAGTGTCCGGACAACAGATGATCATGAGTATTCTGGAGGATGCGAAGACGGAGGTTATTAGATTCCGGAACATATATATGGTTGTTGCAGCAGAGGAAACCACTATTGTCTACTGTCCATCTCGGACCTGAAGGTTCTGGAAGATGTTCGGATGCAATAGGGTCAGTGGGAAGTGCGGTCAGGATGTCTTTCTGGAGCTGGTCGATATCAATCAGAACGGCTGCCCTAAGAACCGGAGTTACTAGAGTTGAAGCTCGAAGGGACGAAGTTAACTGTTCCGAAGTGAATACCAGACGGAAATTATGAGGATTGACTTGAGCATAGTCCTTATCCCCCTCTTTTGGATAGACGTCCCAGCGTCTAGTAAGGGAATCCAGTTTAGCTCCGAGTTTTCCCGGACGGAAACGGATGACGAGGTTAAACTGATGGAGGAATTCCGACCAGCGGGCCTGATGGCGAGAGAGGAGTTTTGTGATAGAGAAATACTCAAGGTTCTTATGGTCCGTGACAACGTCTATCGGCTCGGCAGAGCCTTCAAGGTAATGTCGCCACGTCCGAAAAGCTTCATGGATGGCTAGAAGTTCCTTATTGTGAGTGTCGTAGTTGAGTTCCGGAGTGGTGAGCATCCGAGAATAAAATGCTACCAGACGAAGCTCTGAGTCCAGACATACTATGGAAAGTATTCCGGCTATAGCGTAATCAGAGGCGTCAGTTTCTACGACTATCGGAACATTCGGAATCCAGTGTGTAAGCACCGGAGTGGACGTGAAAGCTTTCTTGAGTGTTTCAAAAGACTTCCGACAATCATCGGAAAAATCCCAAGTAACCCCCTTGCGGGTAAGATGAGTGAGCGGAACTACAATGTCCGAGTAACTGAAAATGAATCGATGATAGAAATTTGCGAATCCAAGGAAGGATTGAATATCCTTAACTTTCCGAGGTTCCGGCCAATCAATGATGGCTTGGATCTTCTCGGACGACATGGTCAAGCCGTCCAGAGATAGGATGTAACCAAGGTATTCAACGGATGTAGTATGGAACGCGCATTTTTCGGGTTTAGCATAGAGTCGATGTTTTCGGAGACAGAGAAGGACTTCTCAGACATGTTCCTTATGGGATGCAAGGTCTTGGGAATAGATGAGGATATCGTCCAGATATACGATAATGCACACATCCAGCATATCAGCAAACACGCTATTGACAAAGTGTTGGAATGCAGCCGGAGCGTTAGTGAGACCTTCCAGCATCACCAACCATTCATACGAGCCATAACGCGTTCGGAATGCGGTCTTCCATTCGTCTCCGTCCGCTATCCGGACAAGATGATAAGCAGATCGGAGGTCGATTTTGGTGTAGACTTTAGTGCAGCTCGGAGAGTCTAGGAGGTCAGTAATGAGAGGTAACGGATATTGGTCTTTCTTGGTAATCTGGTTAAGTCCACAGAAATCTACACAGAGGCGAAGGGAGCCATCCTTTTTCTTGACAAACAGGACAGGAGCTCCGTGAGGAGAGGACGAGGAACAGAGGAGTCCGGAGGAAATGTTTTCATCAGGAAACTTCCGGAGGGCTGCAAGCTCAACTGCAGATAGAGAATAAATGGTTCCGAGGGGCAGACTAGTTCCTTCCTCTAACTCGATTTTGAGATCATAGGGACGATGAGGAGGAAGTTGGCTAGCTTTGCCCTTATCGAACACATCCAAGAATTCATGATATTCTGGAGGAATTCTGGACAGGTCCAGAGGATCGGACGAAAGGGAAGCGGACCGGAGGTCTACACCGGTCGGACGAAAGTAGATGCTGAACTGTTCTGATCCTTCCAGTTTGCAGGCCTGGCAAAAGGCTACCGCATTGATCAAGGAAATGTTGGGGATGGTTTTATCAGTGGAGGTTCCAGATGTAGTCGGAGGAGGTGAATCTTCCACCAGAGGATGAGGATCCGGAGACGGAAGCGACGTCAGAGGTGTCGAAGGCATTCCATGAGAAGTCGTTCGGAAATCAATGCTGCCCAAAACCCAGTCAATCAATGGATTGTGTAGGGTGAGCCAGCTATATCCAAGAATGATGAAACAAGAAGAATCCAACGGGGTAACATAAAATGTATCGGAGGTAACTACACCGGATGGAAAATGGATAGGCAAATCTATAGCTTCGGAAATCATATTATTACAAGTACCATCAAACAAACGGAGAGAAAGCGGAGATATTGGATATGTAGGAATTTTATTTTTTTGGACAAAATCAGAGTCTATAAAACAGTGAGAGGAACCACAATCTATTAGTGAAGGAAAATCAGAAATATCAGGAAAAGTAGGAATAGAAACATATGGACAAAGAGAGTTCGGATCAGAAAGAGAAACAGCATTGAGACGTAGCTCCGTTGCACGGGTAGAGTCAATGCAATCCTCATCCCGTGTGGAGTCAGGAGGGTTGCGGACTATTTTTTTGCTTCATCCGAAGCCTCCGGTTTGTCTTCCGGAGTTACTACTGCAGCACGGCCTTTGGCAGCGCGCGAAGTAGACTTGGTGCATTCCCGAGCCGAATGGCCAGGTCCGCCGCAGAATAGACAGAGCTTATTATCCATCCATCTCTTACGTTCTTCGGACATGAGCTTTCCATCCTTTCCTAACTTGGAGGTAAGGTCCAGAGGTTTAGAAATGGAGGATGATGCGGAAGTAGCAGGTTTGTTGTATTTGTACCTCGAGGGTCCGGACGAGTTGGAACTCATCTGATCGGATGTGGTTTGTTTAGGAGGAATGGAGGTGGTGGGTTTAGTTTCGCGGACAACTTCTCCCTTCCGTTCCCAGTATCGAGCGTCGATAGTCTGGGCAAGGATCTTGTATTCGGAAAGGGTGGAGGGTTTACCCATGCGACTGATTTCATCTTTGATACGAGCCGGAAGTCCATTATAGAATTGGCGTCTTAGGGCACCGTCACCCCAGCCACGGACCTGTGAAGCAAGACGCTGGAATTCAACAACATATTTATTAATGCGTTGTCCATCATGCATATGAAGTTGCTCCAATCGCATTTCCGCATCTCCGGACGGATCGTGCAGTCCGAAATTGGTCTGGAGTTCAAGCATGAACGCGGAGTAATCATCCATCCAATCCGGACGATCATCGTCCTCATCGGCTAGGAGATCCGGTTCGAACCACTCGAGTGCCATACCCTTAAGGTAGGATTGGGCGAAATTGACTTTTGCCCGTCCAGAACGGAAGGACTTAGGTTTGCTTTGGAAGTGGAGCTCGCATTGGACGAAGAATGCACGAAGCTTCCAAGGCTCAGTGCCATCGAAAGTATTGGGTTCACGGATCTTGACTTTAGAATCTTCGGATGAGGTCGGACAATGATTGTTGCATGAGGTTGTCGATGGCTTGAGAAAGCCGAAGCATGACGCGGTCTTGTGGGTTTAACCCGTCAAATTCATCGTTGTTGTCATCCGGGTCATCATCCGGATCACCTCCGAAGTCATCCAGAGGGTTTCCACCGGGAGTATCTTCATCGTCCAGAGGTCCTTTGTCATCCGGATCACCTATGGCAGGAGTGCGCTGTAGAGAATCATGCCTCTCATGGCGTGATATGGCAGTTTCCACTAGGGAGTATACAGCACAAACTCGCAGCACCACTCTGTGTACTGTCCACAGCTATTCCTATATGAGGTGCAGCTTTCCCACACAATGCGTGCCATGCGCACGCCATTCCCGTGCTTCACGATGTATGCGCGCGCACGCGTTCCCGCGCTTGAGCACCCTATAGCGCCAGCCATCCAGAAGCATCCATCCACTGTCCACCAAGCCCTCTAGTGCGTATATTTCCATTTCTTTTATTAGCATATCATTCCACCTCTATTTTTATAATGGACCCTTACTTATATATATCTTTACATACCTACTCAGTAGCGCTTCGGCTCCGCATGACCGCGCTTAGGCGTGCTATATAAGCGCCAGCAGTACATACTATTACCTATTTTTTAAACTAACTTTACATTTTTTACCACTTACTTTTCCTGCAACTGACTACTTACTACTCACTTACTACTTAGCAGAGTATAGTAGAAATCTATTTGTCTACACTTTGCATCTCTCTTCTCCTACCTTGCATCATATTATCACTTAAGCTTAGTCTTTATCAATTTCCGCATACGTGCGCACGCTTTCCCGCACCTTGCGCGCACCTGCACTTTCTCGCGTACCTGTAGATCTTTGCTGCACTCGCTTCCCCTAGGGTCGAACGCACTTGTCGTCTCAAGAATAGCAGACTAGGCAACGCTTGACCTACAACATTTTTAGATACAGTTAGGAGCATCATTGTTCCTCTCTGTATTTTTGTTTCTACAGCGCATAGGGGTTTCCAGATGCGGACGATTCATGAGTTGCGAAATACTTTGAGCAGGACCGTGTGATACACGGCGCTGAGAGAAACTGGTGAAGGTGTTAACTACAGATGTCGGGTTGCATCGGGTGGATGAAAGTCCGACAGCGTGCAAAGCGGCTTGGTTTACTTTAGTAGGAGCCATGATATGAGTCAGTGTACTTGGAAAGGTGTGAGTTCGAATATACTGTTAAGGTCGTACTCTCGTAGGGTCGGATCCAAAGGACTTCAGCCTCAGCTCGTACGCTGTGCCCCTTTCCCAAGTACTGTCCCTTATTTCAAAGTACTAACAGTAACGTGTCCGAAGGTCCGGACGGGTCTTGTAGTATATCTGGATGTCTTCCGGATATCGGAAACACGTATAAGGCTAATCCGGACGTATCCGAACTAGAAACTAACAGAGTAAAGACAACCCGAAGGTAGAGCTGAGGATATAGACTATCGGAATCTATCCGAAGTCTCAGAGAGTGACAAGAGCAAGAAGGACTTAAGTCTGGAGGATGGAAAGAGGACAAACTAAGATGATATTTGAACTGAGGTACTACAGGACATACATACATTCGACTACTATGATCCTTCCTGCATGGCATGCCATCCTCAAGGACTTGTCGGAACCCCAAACCCTCATGCCACGTGATGTGGCCACATGGTGGAATTCAATGTTTGATATGTTGGACTACGCACTTGAACATTGTGAGGCCATAGATACCGTTACGCAACGGTGAGACCTGGGTTTATGGAAGTATGAGTTGGAGGATAATGAGTGGGAAATACTACAGCAATTGCATGATATACTAAAGGTTTTCACTCTTTGTTTGACACTTTGGCGCATATGATTATGTTATATTGTTTGCTCTTGTTAGATTCTAAAAAACACTACACTTTACTTCTCGCGTGCAACACCTAACCTTGCGACAGTGATGCCAGCAATGGATCACGTCGGCAACATGCTCATGTCCTATTTGCGCAACAAGAAATATCTGCCTTCAATTCGTTCGGCAGTTCGGCTCGCAAAAAAGACACTCAACTGGTACTATCAGCTCACAGACAGGTCTCACACATATCGGATCTCCATGGGTAAGTTCTATTCAATCTAGGTTTTTTCTAGTTTCTACTGACAGTTAATATTATTATACTAGTGTTACATCCCCAACACAAGCTATTATACTTCAAGGCAGCAGACTGGGAAGACAACTGGATCCAAACTGCGGAGCAACTTGTGCACGAGGAATTCGAATGTTCATACCTGTCCCTTGATGCCGACTCTGATTTGGGGCATGAGGCGGATGTCTTGGAGTCAAATGGTAATATATTGATGGTATTTTTCTTTTTTTCTTTTTACTTAGCGTTTGTACTGACTCAATCTTAGAGCGACAACATTTTTGACAACCTCCCCACACTTGCAGTCCCCAAACCTACTAACTCGGGCTCCGAACTTGACCGTTACCTTAGTACAGATGTGGAACATGTCACCAACCCTATCGCTTGGTGGCAAGAACATCGCAAATCATTCCCCCACCTGTCACACATGGCCATTGATTATCTAACTATCCCTGGTATGTGGCATTATTATGTTTAATGCCTTGTAAGCTTACATTGCCTATAGCTACTTCTGTAGACGTTGAACGTCTCTTCAGTCATGGGCGTCTTGTCCTGTCGCATGTCAGAAATCGTTTATCGGCGCAGTCGACACGTGCGCTGCTTTGTGTCAGCTTATGGAACAAGTTAGGCCTGGTCAAATCTGAGGATATCATTCACATGTCTAAGCTCCCAGATGTCATTGGCGAAGAGGAAGCAATGGATGAGGGTTGGGACAGAATTAGATTAGTATTACATTTGTTATTACAATTCATTACAATGCTCTTTGTAGTGACCCGCAGGTATACCCCTTGCAGGTAATACCCCAGGTCCATTTCGCTGATACCCGCAAGCAAACATGTACCCGCACCACGGGTATGGGTATATCTCCAGATATGGGTACGGGTCCGACTGCGCACATCCACGGGTTTACCCATGCAGTTCCTTAGCTATAACACAGACCAGGCTTACTTTATGTATTACATATTCTGAACCATATGGTATGGATACTATAGAGGCTATGAACAGTTAGCTAAAGATAGCTCATGCTATATAAACTGTATAACAATAAGTGCTAGAGATATAGCTTCAGATTTTTTCTGATGATAAAACTTTAGAAAACTAATCTATGTACTCTGTAGAAGGAACAAAGGAGGTATTCACAAATCTGTTGCAGGTGAAAATGATGTTCAAAGTATATACTTCATATTCTACCAGCCACTTTTTCTCAAAAAAAAATCATTGATGCACTATGGCTCTCAACAAAAATTCACTCAGGATGGAAAAATCAACTAATTTGTGTCATGCACAACATTGTAGACATCAATTCTTCATTGTATACTCTACTGGGGTTTAGCATTGCTGAATCTGACCTTGCTTGCCTGCCTTGTCTCAGATTTTTCTGGCAGCACAGCAATGCTGGCACCATTTTCAATGTCCGATCAAATTTTGTTCACCTATTCTAATGTTGCAGCTGCTTGCAAGGCCAACAGCAGAGATGATTTCATTGATAGTGAGCTGATTAGCACATTTTCGAATTGCAAACACAATGATAAATGCGCATCATAAGATTGCATTGCCTTGTTCACTGCTGATATGATCAGCAAATGGGTGTCTGTCAAATCTTGCACAGTAGCCACCAAGTCACTGCACTTACATTTTTCAGCTCTATTCAAGTTGTTGTTACCTACTGCAGCTATGATCTCTTTCATTGTTAATGTATCCAGGGCAGAATTGAGCTGTTGTGATGTGGCTCAAAGGTAGTAATGTCATGACATACAGCCACATTCAATGTTTATTGATGTTTATTATTGTTTATTATTGGCAGTCAGTCTTATCAGATGGCATATGACCTTGCAAGCAAGGTGATAAATGTCTGTTGAGGCCTTAACTTCAATATCTTACTATATGTTGACATGAAAAAATAAAGAAATAATAATTTTTGCCTGAGGTGGGTGGGTAAAGGACCGGTCCTATACTGTACGGAAGTCAAAACAACTTAGATGGATCAAATTGTTTCGGCAATTCGTCATAGGCTAGCAGGGACCAGGTAGGTATTTTCCTTCAGGATTGAGGGTGGTTGGAAGAGGTTCTGCACCTTCATACTGGACTGGTGACCAGCTCAAGGCCGAACTCAGATATTGTTAAACGTTTATTTCACAGATTTGAAGGTGGATTGAGTTTGCAGGCCGCAGAACAGGGAACAACTGCATGACCCGGCCAAGAAACTGAGCTGCAGCGTTACAGATATATCACCAAACGTCGCAGTAAGCCATGATATATATCTAGTGTACATGAACAAGCAGTGCCTTTCTGCTGAAAGACTGATGATACAGAGGACGGAGGATCTTCGTAGAGGATGCTCTGATTTTCTTCAACTTGGAGTAGGGCGAAGAGATTCCTCATACAATGGCCATGTCTTTCCAATCCACGTCGCCAGCTCTGTGTGATCTCTGAGTGCATCGCCAGTGTTCGGGTGGACAAGAATGCTGTGAAATGCGTAGCTGGGTTAACGAGCTAACGCGAAGCATTATGAATGTGACACGCACTCACAAGGTCCCCGATTAACAACAAGCCACGAAAATAATGCTCCCGTCTGGTGGGGACTGAATGTATTTACCTCGAACATGGCGGTAGGGTGGGGACCTTAAAAGAACAAGGGTGAGTACCTCGCTGTGACATTGATGGGATAACCAGATACGCACCGACTGGTTTATCCCAGAGCCTATATATCCGCAACTATGGCATGAAGAATGAATAAACAGCTACTGGATGATGCAAGAGAAAGAACTTGTGTACCTCTGGAAACTCCCTCCTTACACGCTCGTGTAATTCTTTCGCATATTGCGCCTGAGCAGCCACAGCGGGCATGTAATAAACTAGCATCCATGGTAAAATCGGGACACCGTTAACATGTGAGGCTCGCTCACTGTGGAAGTCGAAACCATTCTTAGACGGATTAAATTGTTTCGGAAATTCGTCATAGGAGGCTGAGCGAGGACCAGGTGGGTTGTACAGGGATTTCCCGTCAGGATTGATCGTGGTTGGAAGGGGTTCTGCACCTTCATACCCTGCTAGAAGAGATGGCCACTGACTCATGTTTACTCTAGTATAGGGGTTATCGATGTTGTTAGGAGGAACGACGATGGTAACAAGAGTAGAGTCAACGCGGGAGGCCTTATAAGATTGGAACAAGCAGGTGGAGTCCGATACAGACGGTGTGCGTGGTGTGGAGGATGAGTAAGCATTTGTCACCAATTGTATGATCACTCAGCAAAGAGGTCACCGGGCCCAGGCAGCTTGAGGTTAGACTAGGCCTGAGCGCTGAGCTAACAGCCCGCTACTCCTTCTACCTCGAGCAGCGACTGTCAGGTATTTTTGCAATAGCATGCTCCGATTGATCAAGAATGTTGATTGAGGTTCTCCATACGAGTTGATGCACGAAGGAACTTGGTAAAAGAACATGATCATGTGGCAGAAAAATATGATGCCATTGAAAGAGTTCCATTGCCGTGTGTCGGTGAAGAAGCAGTTGACAACATGAGAGAACCCGTTCATAAGACTTCAAATATGTGGCACTTGTATACATTGAAGACGTATGGGAGATAGTCGCCCTGCAGTTTGCTGTATCCCCACTCATTGCATAGTCGGACACATATGCGCTGTGCGGCAGATCTGTGGAGACGACTTCGTCGCTGAACAAGCTGCCTGCTCAAGCGTCCGCAGCGCCGAAAAACGAGATAAATACGAAACAGAGGTGAGCCATGCGAAAGCTTGAAGGCTGTAAGGAGGGCGGAATCAAGGTCGGTACCCGGGAAAAGGTGTGTTATCACCCACGACCCATGATGGCATCACCTTGCTTGCAAGGTCATATGCCATCTGACAAAATCTGACGGACTAACTGCCAATAATAAACAATAATAAATATCAAATAAATATCAATAAACGTTCTATGTCACTGTATGTTGTGACTTCGCCGATCCAGTGTCCAGTTTTTGAACCATGTCGCAACAGCTCAACTCTGCCCTGGAAAAATTAACAATGAAGGAGATTATAGTTGCAGTAGGTGACAATAACTTGAAAAGAGCTGAAAAACGCAAGCGCAGTGACTTAGTGGCTGCTGTGCAAGGTTCGACGGACACCCATATACCAATCATATCAGCAGCGAGCAACAAAGCAGCGCAATCTCACGATGCGCATCTATCTTTGCATGTGCCGTTTGAAAATGCGCTAAATCAGCTCACTGTCAATGAAATTATCTCTGCTGTTCAAGAATTCAAACTTTCACGCCTGGAGAAACGAAACCGAAACAGTCTATTGTCATCTATTCGACATTCTGTACTTCTTCAATCCGCAGTGGTGTCAGCTGCAGATGCAAAAGCTGCACGCTTACAAGATGATGAAGAACACCAGTTGAAAAAGGTGCGGTTGCAACAAGAACGGCAAACGTCTGCCGAACCATTATTCCTGGAGGAGGTGGGAGACTCTGTGCAGAATGAATGTCTATTGCGGTTCATCGATCGTACTGGAAATGCAGCCTGTCGGGCTACTATATGTGTTGTTTGCGCAGGCGAGTTTTTAGCATCTGAGACAACCGAATTTGCGTTGCCTTCGATCCAGCACAAAGAGGTACTGAAGCCATATATCTCGCATCACAGTCAACGACTCGTGAATGGCATGTTGCTATACAATCCAGCCATCATGATTCGAGATGATTGTCCATATGGATTTCTCTGCGATAATTGCTGGGACGATATCAAATCTAACAAAACTCCTTTGTTTTCCCTCGCTAATAATCTTTGGATCGGAGAAGTTCCGGATGAACTTGGGATGTTGACTCTTCCGGAGCGTATCTTAGTGGCCTTATCATATCCTGCAGCATACATCGTCAAGCTTTTTCCGAAAAAACGTGGCGCTGTTCATTGGGATGCAGCAGGTCTAAACAGCGGCTTGCATGGAAATGTATCTACATACCGACTCAACACATCGTCCATTGCAGCTATGATTGAAGGCAAATTGCTGCCGCCTAAACCATCTATCTTGGCGACAACTATTGGCATTTCCATCGTTGGTCCCAATAACTTTCCGGAACGTTGCTTACCGCCTTTCTTATCTGTGAGCCGCTCTCATCTGCGCAATGCGCTGCTCTTCCTTAAGCGAGAAAATCCGTTGTATTCCAACATCACGATCTCGGAAGACAACATCGCGCTATATCCTACACATGGCATTCCGGATGTCATCATGTCCTCAATTCGACACCTCCAAGACACTGCTGCTGTGGATAGCGAACGAGAGGATTATGTACCAGAAGATGATGTCCAGGATGTATTCACCGGTTCGTCTTTTCTTTTGAGATTCTACTTGCTCCTCTCAACGATAACATTTCGTCGACAGAACATGACAAAGCTTTTCCAAGTGGACAGCATGTCGACGAAGACTTGATCGTTGATGAAAATGGTTAGTTTGGGACTGTTTAACAAAACTCATTACACAAGCTGACAAACGCAGTTCCATCCAACGTATTTCCAATCCAGTCGCATGGTGTACTTGATAGCAATGTATCAGAAGTCGATGATGATCAGATCTTAGCTCATGCGATAGCCAATATATCGGAACATTATTCCGTTCAGCGTGGCACAACTTTTGTCAATGAATATCCACGACGAGACATCAACCATACATTGAGTATCGGCGATCCTGATAATCCCAATCATCTACTTGGCGCCTTCCCATATCTATTTCCTTATGCAGGAGGTGGATTTGAAGTCCAAAGACCTCGCTCTGTATCATATGAAGCTCATGCTCAGTGGGCTATGCGTTACGCGGACCGTCGTTTTCGCAAGGACCTGCATTTTATGTTCCAAGTCTTTGGTGTCATACAGAAACGTCAAGTCTGCAGACAAGCCGTACTTCAGGTGAAGATGTTTGTTGATGGATATATCACGCGCAATCTAATTCGGCTTTTTTTAAGGTCAAAAAGGATGACTTTCATAGGAACGAACATCTTTTTCGTTCTCTTACTGTTGCCGATCTGCAAAAAGCAAGTGAAGAAGAACGACAACACCGGACATGTTCAAATACTACTATACGAGGCTTGAAAAAGCATCTAGCTGCTGTACGATCCAATGTCATGGGTACTGATGAGTCTCGCACCAAAATTCGGTCGCTGATCTGGGGTATGTCCGTGATGAAGAATCCTCCATCATTATGGATTACAATCAATCCAACCGACACGCATGACCCAATAGCGCAAGTTTTCACTGGTGCGGAAATCGACCTCGATCATTTCCAGCATCTTGCAGGTCCCGACTCTCACACGCGGTCTATTAGAATTGCAGACGATCCATATGCTGCCGCCAAATTTTTTCACTTCATCATATCTGCAATTCTAAATGAGCTGTTCGGCATACAAGCAAATCATAACAAGTCTGGAATTGTTCGACAACCTGGCATTTTTGGTACTATTGAAGCCTACATAGGTACCGTTGAAGCTCAGGGTCGTGGTACTCTGCACTTGCACATCGTACTTTGGATATCAAATGCGCCGACAGCAGTAGAGATGAAAAATCTACTCAAAACAGAGACTTTTCGGCGCACAGTCGCCTCATTCATTGCTCAGAACATACACGGCTATCATCCAGATATTACAGCAGATACTTTGAAGACACTTCCACGAGAAACAGCTGTTTCCTATTCACGTCCCCCAGATCCAAGGTCTTCGAGTTTTTTATCAGACAAACAACAAGCCATAAGGAGCCTTGTTCGAGCAGTTCAAATCCATACTTGTTCCAGCAGCTGTCTCAAAGTTATACGAGGCCGTGTTATCTGCAAGCGTCGCGCACCTTTTCCTGTTGCAAATACGGCCTGGATAGACTCTGAAGGGAATTGGGGACCAAAGAGGACATTTGCTATGATGAACAACTGGAACCCGACAATATTACTTGCTACTCGAGCAAATCATGACGTGAAGTTGATCACAAACGGTGAAGAAACCAAAGACATCGGTTTCTACATCTCAATGTACACTACAAAGAATCAGCAACACTCATCTAACGCATCCGCACTGCTCGCAAAATCTTTTGCATTCCAGCAAGCTCGAGATAAATGCCACTCAAAGGTCCAAGAGTTGAACAAACACTTGATTCAGCGATGTGCCAATTCGCTCAGCCGTGAACAGGAGTTTAGCGCACCAGAAGTTGCTAGCTATCTCATGAAATGGGAAGATCGCTATATCTCGCATCATTTTGAAACTATCCATTTTTTCTCCGTCATCAACTTGCTGAAAAAAACTTGGCCTCAGCTTGTTTCTCAAAGGTGCGGACATCATAGGCATTTTCAAAATTGCTCGCTAATTATAAACAACGCTCAGTCATGCTGCTGAGTTGTCTAGCGATGGGGAGCTACATGTCTTGCAAGACTCCGCAGAGGCTTACGATGTGCGTATTTCTGTCTTGCGTGTCTGAAAACTTTTTGATGTATCTTTATAGACAGAGTATGCCACTCTCCATTTCGAACAAGAAACACAATCCCTACAACTCCGGGACGAAATCAGAGAATACATGGATAGAGGAGACGCTCTGGAACATTTCAGTTACATTGACTTTTTCCTCAACACGTATGAGGGTCCTCTAGCTGATAGTGATCAGAATACGTCTCTACGCTGGAGAGGTCACGTTCGAGTTCCTTACAGAGCGTCTTCTGGACGACATAAATTTTGTCGAGTGTTGCGCCACGAGAAACACGAAACAATGCCTTACTTTCCAGGACCATGGCTTCCACGCAGAAACGAAGAGCAGACATATCCATTATATTGTGCATCGATGCTAGCATTATTTCAACCGTGGAGATCACTGGCCGATCTTAAACCAGCTCACCTCACTTTCGAAGACATGTTCAATACATTTTCAGCTACAGCATCTGCAAACGTACTGAAAATCATGGATAACATCCAATACTTTTATGAGTGCTCCGACAAAGCACGAGAAAATCAAATCAATAAATCGTTCAGTGCGGCATGGAGAATAGCTGCCTCAGAAGCCGATCGGAATGATGCTGAGAATGACTTAGAAGAGATAGATGAGCTGGCTGGCGATGAAGACGAAGACGATGAAGAGTCAGCACAAACCGTCACAGAGTCTGACATCAAAAATGCCCTGCAAGATTGTCACTGTACACGCGACTTGCTATATGCTGATGTAGCAGTTAATATCGCAGAAGACTTCGCAATTTTCAGTGAGGCCACTATCCAAACTGCAATTTGTCAACCTCGTCGTGTTGCTACCGAAAAAGAATTGGAGATGTACTTGGAGTGGAAAGAACGTATCAAGCACTGTCACGACAACAACTCGGAGCAGATTGAAGAAGCACATCACGATACCAGCTTGACATCAAACATTTCACTGATAGAACCTTCCCAATCATCTAACAAAGACGTTGGTACTGTGCAGCTCAAAGTCGGCACCAATTCAGCCAATTCCAAAAGTACTATGCAAGACATCGCTTCAGATCTCAATCGTGAACAGCTCATGGCCTACACCATCATTCGCAATACACTGCGTGCACGCTTAGCAGAAGAACATCACGAACAATTGCTGATGCTCGTCACAGGAGAGGGTGGCACCGGTAAATCGAAGCTACTCGATGCCATAACACAGTTATTTGCTGCTCACAGCTGTGAGTCCAAATTAGCTTCTACTGCTATGTCTGGCGTTGCAGCTTGTCTTGTGAACGGCACCACTTTACATTCATGGGCTGGTCTACCCCCACAACAAATGCCTCGCTCTGATAAATGGGCAACTCATCCTCGACCTGACATGGCTCGTAGACGACACGACAACATGGATCACAAGTGGTTACTTGTAATTGATGAAGGAAGCATGTTAACTACTGAACAGCTCTCGATACTGTCACAGGTATGCCTCGAATTTCAATGGCAATGCATGATACTAAATACATTTTACAACGATACATCTCAGGTCCTTGGTATTGTGCGAGCCAAGGAAGAGACTGACACTGCAATGCCTTTCGGATCAATGGATATCCTCATCATTACAGATTTTCATCAATTTCCTCCGATCGGCAATGTCAACAAAGCTCTCTTCGCAAGCCACCCACCAAATCAGAAATGTGAACTAGGACGCCACCTATTCGAGCAGTTTCAAACGGTCATCAAACTTCGACAACAAATGCGTGTCACAGATCAAGTATGGATCGACATTCTACTTCGTGCACGAGAAGGAGAATGTACAGCGCAAGATCTACAAGACATACGCAGTCTCGTGATCACAAATGATGCATGCGAAGTTCCTGACTTTAACCAACCACCATGGAACGATGCAGTACTCATTACGCCTCGTAACAGCGTTCGGACGTGGTGGAACACTTTGTCAGTTATTAAGCACTGTCAATACAGTGGGAATCTGTTATACATCGCTCCCGCAGAGGATTCCACAAAGGGCCTGCCGCTATCTATGAAACAGCGACTTGCAACTACGAAACTGCCACTGGATAAAACACAACACCTGCCTGTAGAAGTGCAACTTGCCATAGGAATGAAGGTGATGATTACAGAAAATGTCGCTACACAAGCCAACATCGCAAATGGCTCTCGAGGAACGATAGTCGACATCTTATTGGATCCTCGAGAACAAGTTGATCAGCACACTGTAGTGGATGGCAAAATCTACCTACAGTACCTGCCCTCTATTGTGATCATTCGGCTCAATTTCACCAGAATACGACAACTTCCTGGGCTTCAACCGCACGAAATCCCTCTTGAACCTTCCGTCCATCAATTCTCTATCAGCACTAAACCTCGATATACAGTCACGCGACGCCAGCTGCCACTCACTCCAGGATACGCATTTACCGACATCAAGTCTCAAGGTCAAACTATTGACTATGCCATTGTCGACATCGGCAAGACCACGTCATTTGGACTGAGTCCCACTCATGCGTATGTTGCTTTATCGCGAAGCAGAGGCAGACAAAGCATACGTCTGCTCCGTGATTTTGAAAATGCTCTTTTCACGCGTCATCCTTCGCATGATCTCAAACTAGAAGACATGCGCCTTGATGTCTTAGCAAGACTAACAGAAGAACAGTATTTGCAAGGGAAATATGGCAGCACGGAACTGTGTGAGTCTCATGCTTTCTTCAGGTGTAACGAGATCTAAACTTGATGCTAGAGTCTGATCCGTTGTGTACAGTTCCTTCAATTTTGAGTGACGACTTTGAACAAGAAGTTGAACAGATAGAGAATTTCGACCGACGAGTGCAAAGGAGACTCAAATTGCATTCCAGAAGGTCCTTCTTCTTAGACTTACAGAAACAAAAATCGGATTATATTCAAAGTTCCATGATTTCGCTGAGCAACTACAAGACTAATATTTCATTCAAAGTCCCAAAGCATGACGTTCCAAGCAGCTTAGTAGATCACAAACGGTGATTTGCCATGACGCCTCAGCTACACTGCTCTCTTCTGATGCTGACCCTGCCCCAGATACTTTACTCGCTTACACAAAGACAGCAGTTTAACAACCACTTCATCTCGCAAGCTGCTGGGTCCACCTGCCCACGGTTCAGAAAGTCTAGAATCAGGAAACTCCGGCACCACCCACCTGGTCAGGACTGTTTCATTATTTACAATATGCAGGCGCTGATCATGCTATTATCTGTCAGTCCATGATCTGGATACGTTGACACGTTCAGCTCACCTGTTTATCAAAAAATTGATTAAAACCATGTCCTTTTTCGCGACGTCCACAATAACATTTTCACCGTCCACCTGCACCTGTTTCATGATCAAAATGCTACCCTTTCGAGTGATATTTGTCTGGTCTCCGCTCAAACTCGCCATTCGTTGAAGCACATGGTTTTCCGCAGTGTCCGTTTTTGGCATCTCGAAGAACATCGTGTACAGTGCATCCAGCGAGACATTGAGGTTCGGCACTGCTGTCAATGATTGTCGGAGATGTCGTCGTGTTGTGGTACAGTCGTCTAACTCTCGTTGTTTGACCCAATAATTGACGTCTAAATCATCCAATGTAGGCGGTCCTTTTACTCCGTCATGTATTGGCACTGGCACTCGAAAAGGCCTGTGACACGCCGAGCCATAAAACAATCCTCTGAAAATTCGAGCGAAATGCTTCTCATTGAAGTTAGATATGTTTCGCATGGAAGATTGATTCTCTCACTGGTTTCTGACATCTTATTTCTCCCGGCAAGTACTTTACGTCTGCCCCTGTAATTCATTGTTAGCATGGTCATCCTCTCTATTTCTCAGACTTGCGCCTACGGTTCTGTGCACCACAACTTACGATGTTCTGGCACATAATCTCGTGATTATAGCGACATGCGCTGTTTAAGCAATGCGTGTTCAATCGCCATTCCACATCTACACCATGGAAAATCTGTGTAACTGAGTCACAGCAGTTCCAATCTACGGATAAACGCAGATGTTTTTCATCGACATGGTGCCATAGTGTAGGGCAACGGTCTCTGCATGCACTTCCAATCAGATTTGTATCTTTTTCCACTTGAATGTGTTGAAATATGTTCTTTCCGTTGTTTCGCATGAGTTGACCTGCGTGCGTTCCAATCCCAATACCTTGCCTCATCCATTGTGGATAAAAGCAAGTGATCCCTCCCGTGCTCATGAACACCATGTTAGCAGTGCACGGCGCATTCAGAATGATATGCAAGACACTTGTTTGTCTCTTGCAGCTGGTTACTGTGATTAAGCGATCCTTTGATGTATATTGGTCGAAGCGATCGATAAATGGGATCATGATGGTTTCCGGTGTGCGAGATACTGACAAGTAGCTCAGTGACTTGACCAAGAACTCATTCACGGTATTGAATCCACGGTCAGGAGTCACAATGTTGAGCTCCTGCACATCAACGCAGTCACCTCCTGTCAACATCGACAAAGCCGCCGATCCGATTATAACACTGTTGGAATTTCGTAGTGCGTCAATGAAAGATCTGCACCAAATCCCCGCAAATGGAGCCAATATGCATACGAAGCGTCTTTGCATGGCTTCTCGACCGATTTCATGCATCATGCGGCATGTGCGACTGATAGAATCTATATCTGTAATCCACAGTTTTTCCATTACAGCTTCGGCAATGACTGCATGGCTCGTGACTGTCTGTTTATCAGTTTGATCTTATGCAAGTGTAGTACATTGTCTTACACTTCATGATTCAGTGAGTTTCTATTAGAACACAGCGTACATACTTTGACAAGGTTGATTTTATTAGTGCGTCCTAGAGATTACATAATTGGTTTCGACAACCCAGCACGTTTGCAAAAACACGAAGGATGAGCACTTAGCAGATAGGGAAAAACAAGAAAAAAGGTACAACGTGCAGCTAATAAGAACTCGGTACAAATTTACTGCTGTGAGCAATTACAACCACGAGAACCACCCAAAAGCTCATGCGCCACATCATCATCTTCGATAAACATCAACGAGATTCCGAATGAATCAGCTAGACACCCGACAAGTACTATTACATCTCGTGAATGATTTTATCTACACTAAGAAATGATTCCACATACCTCGAAGATCAACTTGACCACGAAATTGTGCAAGAAGAGATGAAATATTAACGGCAGGAGCTGTGCGCAGAATTGAACAACTACAATTGTGCCATGCATGAATATGCAGCGATCCGCGTCGTTGAAGGATCACTGTAACTTATCAATGTAAGAATATGTCAAAATAGCGAGGAATCACCTGTCAAATAGATGCCTGGCAACGGCTCACAATTGGACAAACAACTCATGATGATGAACGCTCGGTTCTAGATAAGAAGCTAAAAATTGTTAAGTCGCTAGACGTATCATGCTGAAAAAAAAGACATACCAAACTGCGCCATTTATGTTAAGAACATACGTCATGCGTTACGAACAAGATGTCGCTTGACAATACCCCTATAATGAACATCTCAACTACAAACCATGAAGATCTTCGACTTTGCCGCACACCACAGAGCTTTAAAAGAAAACCCAAACTACGCAATCAACGCCAAAATCTTGCAGCGTGCTGAGTGGCGTCATGGTGGATCAGGACACATCTTGACTGACAAAGACTCCGACGAGCCGTTCGTAGGCATAGCCGTCATGCACATAGTTGACTTTCGACTGCAATGCTCACCCATAGGGTCCTTCCTGGGATCTAAGTACGGAGGAATGGAGAAAGCAAAGTACCAATTCATAGGGGGACGAACACATGGCAAAGACGGTTTCGATGAAGATTTCGCCCGAACGCATGCTCTGTTAAATAACATCCAAAATGCTATAGCAGTGTCTCATAACAAGAAAGACATGCTATTAGACGAGCAGAGCATCAGATTTGCACGAAACATATTTGAAAAAAGGGTGAGCTTGACAAATTCGACTGTAAGACTGTTCAAAGCTTACCTGTACAACCATAAGGAACACGCTGTTCCCGATTCCCCTACAGCCAGTCGACGCACTGTGTATCTGGAGGACTTGGAAAATCCCCATGGCTCACATACCGTCGGCACGGGAGAAGAGCTAAAGATGGATGATGAAACCGCAAACTGGCCTGTCGACTCACAGTATAGTGATGACCTGGCCACTATCAAAGCTTTCTACAAAGCCGTGCCACTACGTGTCTATGATGAAAACAACAAGTTCGTCAAGCCTGAAAATGTTAACAAGGCACTCTGCAATGCAATTGCTGAGATCCACTTCACACTGCACCACTTATACCTCCCAAAAAATCTGCCACCACAAGATTCGTTCCGCGCAAACATTGAGCAGATCTTGATATTGCAGCGGGGGAAAACGACTACGAGCATCTACACGTCAGATCCTCGTGCCGGTCCTGCCAGTACAACAAAGGCTACTCACCATACGCCGCCGCCAACAGAAGCTCCTCCATCCAAGAGACTCCATACAGAGGAACAGACAGTCACCAAGGGAAAAGAGAAGGAACACGACTGAGGATTTCGATTGGCATCAGATGTTTACTACTAAAAAGCAGAAATGTACTCAATATTTGTAACTCTGCAGAAATAAGTGTTTCGGCATGTCTGTCATTTTGAGGGCAGCAACGAGTGGGTACAAGAACTTGATATGCATCATAATGAGATAAACAGGAGACATGATTAGGCTTGTGCGAGCGCCACCTATTTACACCGTTCGCCACCCGGTACACCAAAGGCAGTTACTAAGTGAGGAGGGCAGAGCTACAAGCACCGTCCGATAACCATAGCCACCCGCAAAAGTAAAAGGGAATCAATTCATGGAGGGCAGCAATACCGGCATTTGCCAAATTTCAAACTCCTCCCGAATACGGAAATGCGTGAGACCACTCTGATTCGGCAAGCAAGGTCAGATTCGGCATCGCCGAACCCTAGTATTCAAATCTAAATTGCACTATCAAATTTCAACGACAGGCTGGCACAGCGGAAACTACCTATTCGCACAGCAGCAGATATTTCAGACCTATGGTATACAACTAGGCATATTAATCTGTCCAGAGCAATATTTGTTCTAAAGGACGAAACCGCAATTCCATATGTTTCCCTGCTGTGGTGCTTGTTGACGATCATACATCATACATCATACATATCCACGACACCCTTACTTGGCCCAGGTTTCGACCGCGAAGATATTCGACGAAGCTGCACATAGGTCGTTCTGTTGTAAACTTCGACTGGAATAATACTCTCGACAACAACGCTCATGTTATCACTGACTCACAAAACGGCCGCTGTTAGCATCTTCGACCAAGTATCCAGAAATTTGGCTAGCATAGGTTGCATACCCTTGTCAGAGTACCTATATGGTTCTTCATCCATCCCAGCAGCACCACTACAACAGGAAACCCTATCTACCGCCCCCCAAAATGTTCCCGTTCAACACCCACAACCCTCAACACCGGCCATAACCAAGACGTCAGTTGACACCGTCTCAGCAAACACTATCAGCCGTTTACATCAAACATCTCAACGCACATTTGGATCCATCGAGCCACTTAAGTTCGAATTCATCGAGGAAGCTGGCCAGCGCAGTGCGTATCCACTCTTACGTCAAATCATCATCCTTATTATAATTCCACAGCCAAGAAATGCATTTTGACAATCTCTCGTCCCAACGGAAGCACTCGTTCTTATGCAACCGATCCCGTTTATTCTCGCAAATCCGATGCAAAATCTGCTGCGGCCACTCTCGCGATCGAAATGGGTGCACTGGATTTCATCACTCACGGAGATCCTGAGGAACTCAAACTTAAACGCGGACTTGTCCTCGCCTCCATCAATAGCTCACAAAACCAGGAGCGTACACAGGCAGAGTTCGGATCTACTGCCGATAATCTAGACGGCAATAATGCGATTGAGCAAATCGAAACCTGTTGCGTAGAATGGCGGGGTGGTTCCATTGCACCACATTGGGTAGCATTACTAGAGCCCAAAGTCGGTCATAGTAAGTATCAAAATGTCGGATGTCCGGGCTTTGTTGAACTAAGGTCACCGCAGCTCAAGGATGTGCCCTCAGAATCGAACTTTCACCACACGTAATCAAGGTCTACGCATCCGATACCATCTACAACACGTACAACGAAGCAAAGGGCGCGTGTGCTGAAGCGGCACTTCGCGAAGGCGTTCTCAACTTTATTAAACACGGAAACGGCCAACTACGCCCTGCATCCCCCCAACTATACCCAGCCCCCAGTTCCTCCGACATAAATGGTGTCTCAGCCAACAAACAACCTCCATCGACTCTCCAGGCATTCTACGAATCCCTCCCCCGTCCATTTCCTGAATCGTTCGAGAGCAAAGACGTCAACGAGTTCGGTGCGCCTGGATATATGAACACCCTCGTACAAAATGCAAGAGGCGGAAAGTTGACCACCGCATTCATTTTCACATCAGACGGAACTCCAGGACGTACGTATTCTCTATCATAAAACACTCGCGCTCACGACACTGATTGACTCTATCTAGTGCACGGTTGTTTCCTCCGCTTAGACAGACCCACAGAATATAGAGCATACCTTGTCGATCCCAGGTTCCCAAAACGCGCAGATGCAAAAGCAGCCGTATGCCTCCAGGCGCTGTCTCAGGGCGCTGGAGATTACATGCGCGCGATAGGAAAGGCTGTCGAGGAGAGAGTCACGCCTTTGATGAAAACATGGGTGAACGATCAAGTATACCCTGTCCTCTTATCCGAGTATAATAAACTCAGGGGTCGGCATCCTAATTTTACTTACGAGAAGGAGAAAGATGGTCCGTTCTTGTTTTCTCATCATGTCACCTCGCATGCTCATTGCGTATTAGCCTTTGGATGCACGATGACGCTCCAGCTCTCTGCCGATCCCACGCCTGACCAAACACGAATCTGGACAGTATCGAATGACTACCGCAACAAGGCAGATGCCAAGGTAGCTGTCGTTTGCATCGCAATCGAACAACGTGCGATGGAGTTCATCCGGTTTCGAGGCGAACCTCCTCCTCCTGGCTATACCACCCCATATTCTCTGCAGACCTTCGACCCTGGATCGTCTCAGAAATCTAACGGGAAACGAAAGATGGTCGAGGATGCGCACTCGCAGGGTGAACATGAAAAGCCTACAAAACGACAAAAGAAAGCAAAGCTTGAGAGCACTGCAACCAAACACGGTAATAAGAAAGCGAAAGGCAGCACCCTCATCTATAGCATTCCCGAGTCTGGCACCATCCGTGCAGGACAACCTTCTCGAAAGGGGTATGCTTCAGCACCATATCGGCCAGGACTTGAGGATGAGAGTGGTTTTGGGACTGCGTACCGTCTACCGCAGGTGTCCTTGAATCCTATTCCACCTAATAGTGATCAGCGGTTCATGCCTCTTCGCCCGCATTCTTCTGTGCAAGGTGATTATGGGTATCCGCTTTCGGCACAGTCTTTCGCTGGAGCTTCGGGCACTAGTTCTGGAGGTGGTGCGGGTGCGGAGCGGTTAGGTGATTTATCTGAGCCAGAACCTGGGGAGGTTGTATGACTTTGTTGAATCGAGTACTGTTTGACTGTTTGAGATGGTTCATAGTGCTACATCGCGAGGGTTATAATTACATGGATCCCACGTCACCTAGGTATTCTCCTTGTTCTCGAGGGAAACCTCTGTCCTTCCGGAGTTATCCTTGCTCAACGTTGCAACATCAATAGGAGGTGATCCGAGACTGTTGAAAGGGAATTTGGCAGCTGCGCTAGAACAACCTGCTAGTGTATTCACTGGTCGTAGCATCGCACTGTGTAAGAAGGATATTAAGATTTGGCTGCCACTACTGGAGGTCTTCCAGGCGAGACTACTAGTGTCGATGTGTTGATACTCTATTACGTAGCGAGGAAATAGAGCTATGCAAGTCTTTGTGCGAACAGCAAGCGTGACGAAGTTCACACCTAAGACCTGCTCGACTCGTCGACACAGCTTTTCTTTTTCCCCATCTTCCTCTCCCTCTTCCATTGCGCCAGTGCTAACAAGGAAGCAATACCGCGCACTGGTTCAGGCCAGCCCATATTAGTATCTGAGGAATATTATTAGTATCCGCCGCGCCTGTCTGTTTCTTTAGTATCATGGAGACATGTTGTCCAGAACACTCATAACAGCTGCAGCACATGCTTCAACCCTCCACATCCAACTTTCCACGTCCATCATATCCCTAACCTCCCCCTTCACCCGCGGCTCTTTACGCACACTCCAAGACGCTATTATTGCGCATGCAACAACGTCCAAGACTCCAGTGACCCCAGGAGAAGTCAACGCAGCGGTCCTTGTTCCGTTGTGTAATGTCGATGGTGTACCCGGCGTGCTACTCGAACTGCGAGGCGGTAAACTGAGGTCCCATGCTGGCGAAGTCAGGTATATTCAACCCCCAAAATGTCAAGTATCTCGGCGCTCATGATCACTAGTTTTCCTGGTGGAAGGGTCGACCCAGTGAGTCTATTCAGAACCTCTGTGTACTTCCTCATCATACCTGTAGGCAGATGCATCGTTTCTCGCTGCTGCACTCAGAGAAACACAAGAAGAAGTAGGTCTAGATCATCGGCAGATCGACATTCTCGGCCAATTTGGCCCGCCTGAGCAAAGTCTCATGGGTCTCAGAGTATGGCCCTACGTCGTACGTTTATTCTACTCACCAGTTTTGTTTTGACTTGAATGCGGTGCGCAGGGCTTCGTATACCCACGTGGCAGTCACCACACAGATACCGGAGCACTAGATGATCCCTTACCCTCCATCTCGCTTTCCTCACTCAGGATATCTCAGGCCGAGGTGGCGACCGTCTTCCATCTTCCCCTTTCCGCATTTACATCCCCTGTGCGTATCAGGCCTGACATGTTCCGCGCTGCCAGCCCATATTGGGCCATTGATGTCTCTGACCTTGTGGAGGGGTCTGAGGGGGTAAACGATCCATCGGGACACTCGGAAGTGAGTGGTGGGAAGGAGGGACGTTTAGAAGTTTGGGGTTTGACAGGTTGGTACATGTCATTGCTCATGCGAATCTTAAAGGTATACACCTAAATAAAAGATTATCTTGTGGTGACATACTGAGGTCCTTGAGATCATCCTTGGGAAACTGAGCACACAACATTGTCTTGTGTTCATTCAGAAGCACCATTCGATGACCAGCCGCAAGCTGAAACACAGGCACTTTCGTTTCACTTACGGTAAACAGCAATCGCCTTACTTACATGTGAGCAAAGATATACCTGTGCCGTCCTGTAGATGAAGCTTTGAAGCACCACCACTACCTTATGTACCTCCCCACGCCTTGAAATCTTTCATGTAGTGCATTGGCACGACAGGACATGCAGTGATGTCATATCAGCGCTGGTAGAACTCCTGATTTTGAGGGACGGGCCAAGAGGTGAATGCGCTCACATGGCTTGGAGCTCCATGGTTGAGAGGGGTCACAGTGGTTGAGTTGAGGATAGTTGCCACGCATAAAGGCGTTGACCATTGACA